AGAGGCCTGGGAGGGACCACCTAACAAGTGGTGTGCTTGGGGTTGGCTCCTACCAGCTCATGAAGGGCAATTGTTTGTATTTCTTGCCAACTCTGTGTTGAGTGATGTCACTTTGGTAGCTCGAAACAGGCCATGGTAGAAGTACTTACACTGAAAATTGGTAAACATTGTATGAAGGATTCCTCCCTGCCCCAGAAACCAATTATTAAACATTTTGTAACATATCAATGACAGTAACCACGTGGTCAAAGACAGTGTAAGCAATATTGAGATAAACGGATATCATGTGTCTTGGCTCACGGCAGCACCCACGCCTGCTGCTGCTCTCCTTCCATCAGGACTGCTCTCAGCTAGTGGGCACGTTACAAATGGTCTCATCCGTTTTGTCAAGCCAATACGCTCCTGTCACAAAGCTCTCTAGATTGTACTTTAAAGGGAAACACCTTTCAGCCAGAAACGTTGGATGTCTGGTGCTAGCACTTCAGTCTTCGCTAAACATGTGCATGTAATCACTGCAGATGGGCTTGGTGCCTCGAATCACCGCCATTGCCAGGGCCTTCTTCTCAGGTTAGACTTGAGGCTTCATCGTTGCTGTCCCAGACTCATTGATAAGCTTGAGGATCATCAGAAACTTTTAGTCCTTCAATGTAGTAGTAAGATTTAAAGTGTGCTTTAAAAAATCCATGTAATGTCATTTTTGCTCTGTGACGTGGATATTGTTAAAACAGCAAGATTTAAAATAATAAATGATATGGAAAAATTGAGAATCAGAAACAGTTAATTCTTCAGCCCCATTTTTTTCATGGGCTAGTTAATATCATTGCAGACATTTGATGAAAAGGAGCAACTAAACTGCTGGGCGTGCTTACTTCATATTTGAGGGCTATCCAGTGCTTGTTCACTCCTTCTAACTCTTAATTGCTGTCAGGAAAACATGAGCATGGCGCACACATGCATGTGTAGCCATGGCTGATGTGGATAACTTGGAGAAAAAGGAGCATATTCCTGTTCTAGTGCATTTACTTCTTTTTAAAATCAGCTCTGTTGAGGTAAATTTAACTATAATAAAAATCACCAATTTTAAGTGTGCAATTAAATGTATTTTGACAGATGTACACAGTTTTGGAGCCAACATAATCATGATATAGACCATTTCTATCAACCCAAAAACTTTCCTCATGCTCGTTCCCTACCTCCAGGTCCTGGCAATGCTGATCTGTCACTCTTGTGGTTACTTTTCTGCATGTCATGTAAGTGAAATCATACAATATGTCTTTGGTGTCTGGCTTCTTTAACTAAGCATACTATTCTTGAGGTTTGTCCATGTGTTCTATGTAACAGTAGCTTGTTCCTTTTTTTTTTTTTTTTTTGAGGAAGATTAGCCCTGAGCTAACTGATGCCAATCCTCCTCTTTTTGCTGAGGAAGACTGACCCTGAGCTAACATCCATGCCATCTTCCTCTACTTTATCCGTGGGGCGCCTACCACAGTATAGCTTTTGCCAAGCGGTGCCATGTCCGCACCTGGGATCTGAACCTGCGAACCCCAGGCCGCCAAGAAGCAGAACATGCGAACTTAACCACTGCGCCGCCGGGCCGGCCCCCAGCTTGTTCCTCTATATTGCTGCTATTGCTAATATTCTGTTGTAAGCCTAGCCACAATTTGTTTATCCATTTAGCCATTAATGGACATTTAGGTTGTTTCCAGTTTTCAGCTGTTATGAATAAATCACCCTCATTTTGATAATAACCAAGAAATTCTTCTTCAATGCCATTACTTTTATTCTGTTTTGTAAAATATGGCTAACTACAAGTTTGTCTAAATGAGATCATCGGTGTTTTGAGTGGTAACTGAAAGAAAATCAGTTGAGGAGGCCTCTCTCAGCCATCCTCCATGAGGCACTCACGCTCAGCTGGACGCCACCTCTCGTTTTTCTGTGCTTTGGTAGTTTTTCTCTTGTACCTCTCTTATGATATATTTTACCTCTACTTTCTACTCTTGCCATTTTGAATTCCCTATTGGGGCGAGGACTATGGCTCTATGCCATATTTATCTTTATTTGACTCAGTGCCTAGCAGAATGTTTTTCACATAATACAGTTATGATAAATATTAAGCGATTTGGTTTGAATTCTTCTCTAATCCCTTCCTTGGTTATGTAAGTGGTTTTTATTAATTTTTAAAATCAATTATTGCATTACCTCTAGATTGTTATAAAATAGGTTTCACCAAATCAAAACATTTCAAATCCCACCTCTGCCTTTACATCTCTTACAATGTAACTTTTGAGGAGATTTCTAATTTTTTATGGCCCTTATTATTTTTTTAAACTGTCACGTGAGAGGATTTTATTAAACAAATTTGTGGTTCCCTTTCAGTTCTAACATTCAAGGTTTTATAAAAAGCTACTAAGTCAGAAAGAATCTGCAAGGGGAGAAGGTGGAAGGGAGGAGGAGGTAGGAAAGCTAGGAAAGCGAAAATATGCCATGGTTTTATGTAACGGAAAGTAAAACGAATGTTAGCTAGACTTATTGTGGTGGTCACTTTTCAATTTGTACATATATGGAATCATTATGTTGTATACCTGAGACTAATATAATGTTATATTTCAATTATATCTCAATTAAAAAATAATAAAATAAAATATGTAGCTTCTTAAATAAGGTGAAAATTGGGGAAGGATTCAAGAAACAAAAGTTAGTGTGTAACTCAACATTTGTTGGTAGAGCATTCTTTTAAATCACTTTATTTTATAAGGAGAACTGCCATAACAGTAGTCTTTTTCCATTAGCAAATTTAGGATACCAGTAATTAGGCAGCTTCTCATTCTAAAAATTGATGATGAGACTGGCAACCCCTTTGTGCAGGGGACCATAAGCCCCAGTTTGCAAAGGGCAGTCCCAGTTAGGACTGTTGTCTCGGTGTAATCATTCGTAGTGCTCCTTTTCACTCTCAAATGGGTATTGGTTTGAACAGTGCATTTTATGGTCACCCAGTTATTAGGGATCTCAGAGACCCAGGTCTCCCTACCTATGTCCGCTGCTCTAACGCAGGGTCTGACTTGGGGATGGTTCCTCAGTGAAAGAGTCCACAGTGCCCTTTGTAAGCTGACTCCTTCAGCAGCCTGGTCTCCAGCTGCCAAAGCCATTAGAGCCATTCTCTTCCAGGTACTCTTCTTTTTTAGCATGTCTGAAAAATTTTGGCTTCCTCATGTAAGACTTGAGCAGATTCTCCAGCTTCTCTTACGACTGCAGTCTTCCTTCTCCCAAGGGGTTAACCCTTAACCAAGGGTTTAAGAACATCCATTCATTAAACATTCACTGTCCACTTCCTATGTGCCAAGTACTGAGCTAGGCTCAGGGTATAGACAGACAAAGATGACAAAAAGAGACAGACACAAATCAATAACTAAGTGTGACCAATACCATCTTAGTAGGATGTATACATACACGATGTATATTGGAATCGTTGAGGAAATAATAGTTAATTTAGGAGACAATGGAAGGAGAGGGGGAGAATTTTGAGCAGGCCTTAAAGGACGAGTATGCATCGAGCAGAGGGACAGGGATTGGTGGGGGTGAAAGGTAGGGCTGGGGGAGACATCCCAGGAAAACAAAGAGACTTGTGCAATGATCCATGGCTAGAAAAATGGTGTGACTGCAGAGGCAAAAAGTGGCCTAGTGTGACTATTTGTTGCAATATACTATTTTGGAACTGAGTGTGAGGCAAGACCTTGGAGCAAATCCAAGGGGTATTCTTATTAGGAGTACCAGAAGGGACCTTATTTCACATTTGGTGTGGACCCCTGATGATTCCATTTGAGGGAAGTGTGGGTGTATTTTCGTTCTGAAATTTTACACTACAACATTACCGCATGCATTGACCAATTTCAATACAGACTTTCCTTATGTCGCTTTATAATTAGAAGCTGGTGAATTGAAGTTCCACAGCGGTACATAGACTAGTAGTGATAGCTTTATGGAATTGTTTATTTTTAGTTTGGCAAAGGCAAGGCAGTAAATATCTCAATTAGTAAACTAAAGCAGCATGGATGAGAAATGCCCACAAGGAGATCAGGAGTTAGAAATAACTAAGTCAGTTAATTGAAGGAAACCCTCATCGCTTACCCATCTTTAGAGTTTGAAGAACCAACCTAATGTGTGTGTGTGCACAGTGTCGGTACCCACAGTGCTGCCAGTGATGAGGTCCTTTGCGTTCTTCAGGGTCTCATTGTTTCACAAGTTGCTCTCTTCAGAAGCCACTGTGGTTGACCCATTGGGTCGACAGCCAGTCACACTGGGGTGAGAGTTTGCCTCTGAGTGTGGAAACTTCTCATCTTGTAGTTTCTTTCAAAGTGACCCAAAGCAGGTTTTATTATGAAGTGCTGGGGGAAGGTTTTCATTTTCATTTTCATATTTATATTCACATTATGTGGCCTAATGTGTGAAAATATTTAACGAAAACTTGCATGTGGTACTGCAGAATCATTTACTTGCCTCTAGATAGAATCTCCTAAATTGTATTTGAGATTCCATTTTAGGTTTGGGAGGAAAAGCAGAGGTGGTCTACAAAGCTTAGTTTGAAGACTTTAACTTTTGGTGTATTGAGTCATGCTGTTCCTATAACTAGGATGTTTAGGAAATGTTAACCATTCAGAAGTAGAAAGTCTAACTGGTGCTACGAAACATTGAGAATGTTATAGAAAAAGATGTGTGTGTTTTAAAATTACAAAATACCACTATGCAGTTGTCACGATTTTTTTTTATTTTTAAAGTTGCGTTCTTTAGTCCTTTGCATTTATGGCATGTATTTAACGTTGTATGAAAGCACCTTTGGATTTTCTCCCTAAAAGTGGGGGGGGGGGGGGGGTCTGTGGGAAGATTGTTGTCTTCTTATCCTTAACAATTTACAACATAACAGCTCTCTGTGGTCTGTTGGGGAAATGATGGGGGTTCATGCATCTGTAGATTAAATTTCTGTCTGTCTGCTCTCTGCTTTGTAGACTGGAAAAAGATAGCATTCAGCAGAGCTTTAGCAACGAAGCAAAGGCCCAGGCCCTTCAGGCCCAGCAAAGAGAGCAGGAGCTGACACAGAAGATGCAGCAAATGGAGGCCCAGCATGACAGAACTGGTAGGTGGTCGGGAAAGATTAGAGTACGGGCCCTGGCTCAGGAGCCGGCCCACGCCTCACTGTGAAATGACATCAGGAACACCTGTAACCTTTGGCTGGCCGAAGGGAGCAGATGCTAACTACACCGGAGATTCCGAATTACATATTAGTTAGCGTTTAAAAGAGAAAATGGAAAGTATTGCCCACTGTCTGTTGATTTCAGAGTGCTGCTCTCACATCTGTTGCACCATCTGGATTATGAGTTTATTTACCTGTGTTCAAGAAACGTAAAGCTGAGAGAGACCACAACAAAGTAGAAAAACAAAGGGCTTGTTTTTGGCTGGGTTTTCAGGCACACATGTTATATAAAGAAAATAGCATCAGAAGCTCTGCGGGAAATGCTCTGAGCTTACAGTTAGAGTCTCCTGAATAGCATTGAACAGTTCCCACAGTACACACATTATAGCTACTCTAAAAGCCTAATGAGTTTGCTTCAGCATCCAAACTGGAGAAAAGCTTTAGCCATTAATCGGTCCTTAATTCACTGTCGCAGCTGGATGTAATTCAGTGGCTCCAAATTGATATGTTCCTTTATTTAATCTTTGCAGCTTCGAACATTTTTAGCATTTGTATGATTTCCCCCTCCCCCAGCCCAATCTAGAGTGGTGTTTAATCCTCTGCATTCTTCAAGTTCTCGCAACCGCTGTTAAAATTCACTAATACAAGGCATCGACCACAGCTGGCAGCTTGGCTAAAAACTGCCATCTTTCATCACATTGGCACTGTTCTGCAGACTGAGTTGGCCAGTAACTCTTTACCTTTAATTTGAAAGTAAAATGCACTTTGAAAATAGGCAGTTTGATTTGCTCAGTCTCAGCGTTATGTGGTTCTTTCACTTTGGAGTTGTGTGTTCACAGACAGTGTTAGTCAAAACGAGACAGTGTCAGTCATTATAATTCCACACCACGTACTCCGAGCTGATTGTACTATTAAAACAAAAGTTTAATTGATCCAGTCTCTTCCAGAAAAATGTTGCTTCATTTTTAGTGCCTTGTTTTATTTTGCTTTGTATGCTATACGCTTTTTGCCAATCATTAGCTAAAATTGAAAAGAAATAAAGGGCCTTATTGAACCTTACCCTTAAAGATAATTTCCACATAATTTGATGTATACTATATTTGATGACATGGTAAAAAATTTTATTGCTTATCTTATTGGTGAAAAATTGCTAATGTAAAATGCGTTAAATGATCTGTTTACTTATAAAGAGGCAAACGTCATCGTGACTCACGTAATTCCCTCTGGCACTTTCAGTAGAGATTTCTTTTAACAGCGTTTGGCCAAAAGAAATGAAAACTCACCAGACTTAGTAAATGTTTTTCCCCTAAAAACAAAAGGAGGAAGTTAGAGGATAAATTATTGTTTGCCCCCACTCCTAACAGGATCCTATGCTCAAGGAGTCTTGGGCAGCATCTCCGAGGGCTAGATAAGAGCCCTGTTTATCCTCACTGTTTAACTAGAGCCACCTTAAGAACACTGACGTGCATTGTGCACAAAAATATCACACTCTTCTGTTTCTTTGACCAGATCTTCATTGAAGCTCATACTGTTGACAATGAAATCAAAATTCTAAGGAAAATTACGTATTTCACTTTCATAGTTAGAGAAGCGTGTACAAGAGGGGGTTGGTGAAATACATGAGTAAATACGAAACAGGAAGGGTGGGTTACAGCATGGAAGAGAGTTCCTCCCTGACTTCATCTCAGTTATCTGGTTGTGATCATTTTTGACACTCTGTGTATAGTAAAATTGTCAAAATAAAAAGACAATATTGCACATATTGCAAAGATAAAAGCATCTATGACTCTACTTGAGGTATTTGACAATTTATTAACATGTTAAAACATTACACCAAGCTGGTATGATCAAAAATGTTTTTTGTGTGTAATTATTAGGAAAATAAATGTCTCACAAGATTTAGTGTCTTGCCAGAGGAGTGGTCTTTTGACTTAGGACATGGAAAATGGTCTAGTGGCTTACAGGAAATGTGTGGTAGGAAGTGAGCACTTTCCCCACCGTCTGTGTGGGAGCACCGCAGAGCTACAACCATAAACATCTTATGTTGGTGGGGGGGTTATTGTTGTTTCTAGAAAATGAACAGTATTCATTGCTGACCTCCCAGAATACATTTTTGACAAAGTTAAAGGAAGAGTGCTGTACATTAGCCAAGAAACTGGAAAAAATCTCTCAAAAAAGCAGGTAGGTAATATTATACAATACTTTCAGAGTACTGTTTGTGTGAATACTGTAATTTTTCCTCAAAAAACAGCGTTTCCACTATTTTATCTAATGACAAAATTAGATATCTGTTTAGATACATTAGATAGATACATTTTCTGTGAAAATATTTTCTCTGTATAAACACTTTCTTAACCATCCATGCAGACACCTTGAGTTTTTTATGAATATGTATATGTACTATTATTTGACTTTTTTAATGTTTATAATTGAAAACTATAAAATTTCAGAAGACAAAGATCAAGATAGCAGTTTTTCTAGTAAAAGATGCAGGTAAACCAAGGAGTTTTAAAGTCTTATGTTGATATAGTTAAAACATTTTAATCTATTATCACAGTTCTCCATGAACTCGCAAAAGCTGTCTTTAGGTCAAATGATCATAGATGAAATGTGTATATATAAAAATAAAAGTAGACGATACTTTGAAATACACTCAAACCATCCCTTCCTTCTTCTAAAATTGTTTTATTTTAGGAGAACAGCCATCATTCATTTTATAGGTTCTATGCTCTTTTGTAAATCCATTGATGGGGATCTCAGTGAATTTTTTCCTGGACCTTTTCTAAGCAGGTTTTCTCAATGAACGCTGTGTTTTATGTTCTGAACTGTAAGAAGCCTGAGTTCTCATCTCGGCTCTGACAGTAACTGTAATCTCAAACAAAGGTATTTGACCTGCTTGAACTGTGATTTCCTCTTGTAAATGAATCGTGTTGGACAGAGTCACTTTGAATTGAACTGTAAAAGTCAACATTCACGTAACTAGCTAGATGTCAATATCACCTTACAACGTAACCTAATGGAAAAATAACCTGTATATCTTTTCTGTATTTTTCTGAAACTCACTTAGATCTGCTCGGAGCAAACAGTATTGCTCAGTAAACTACTGACTTGGGTATCTCATTCAGAAGGAGTTTGCAGGAGGACCAGGGCCTGTCTGATCACTCTGAGCCCTGTCTGGGGCTCCTGCATCGATAAACTGGCTTAGTGATGGAATCCCCATCCCCGAATCTCCTGGGGAATCAGAGGGCTTCGGAATGCACGGTAGGCAGAGGCTCCTGTACCCACCCAGAGTGTGCTCTGACCTCTGTGCCTTCTTAGCAAATACTAAGTGAATATCTTGTTTGGGTAGGGGAAAAGCTTAGGGTGCCAAAATACCAGATATTTTTAGGAAATTTGGCAAGGAAACCCAAATGATATTGTCATGAAAGAGACCCTCATAAAATATCAAGAGTAGCTATTCCTAACCAGAAATATTTAATTCACCTCACATAGATCCAAAAGTAAGTAATTTGTTAGAAACAAACAAACCAGATTATATAATCTAAGAAAGAAATTATATTGATCTTGGGTTTATAATATTCTATTATTTTAAGATTGCTCTGTGACTGATTATTGATTATCTTGCTCTGTATGAAGACATAATTCAGGAAATTGAAGTGTATAAAAGAGAAACAGGTGCTATATGCTTGGTATATATTATTTAAATCTCACAACAGCTTGAGACAGGAATTATTATCTTCTTTTACAGATGAAGAGACCAATACAGTATTTAAAAAGCTGGTAAATGGGAAAGCGAGAGTTCTAACTTAGATGTTTCTGGTTCCAGTCTTTCTTACAATAAGTATAACATTTTACATCTACTACTAAGGAAAATCCAGGCCAACATAGTTATGATGGGAAAGTTTGGGAAAGAAAAATTAATCTTCGATTCCCGTGGAGAACTGGGCATGCTTGGCATGTGAGGGTTCCCCTGTGAGCCTGGGTAGACCTGTGCCCAGCGCCTCTTTTGCCTGCTCTGAATCTCTCAGCTTACCCTGTCCTGGTCCGTGAGCTTGAGCCTCAGCCCCTCTCCAGCTCCTCTCGCTTCTAGTCCCTCTAGCTCCTGACCACTATGTTATGAATTGAACGTGTTCCTTTTTGTCTGACACACAGATGGCACTTAATACATATTTATTGAATGAATGATTGAAACAAACAAGTGTGGTGCTACCCCCATCTCCCGAGCTGACTCTGGCTCCAGCCTGTTCCTTTGCTGACGACAGGCAGTGTGCGGGACAAAACACCATGGCATTCAGAAAGAACTAGGTTTGAAGCTCGCTCTGCCACTTAGCTTCGTAACCTTGCGCACATTGCCTAATCTCTCCAAACCTCAGCTTCTCCGTCTGTGAAAACATTTCTAAAACCCATGTTGCAGGGTTGTTGTGGGAGTCAGCAGTATGTAGAGAGAGACACAGGTACACATGTGTGTAAAGCGCGTAGCACAGTGCTTCACACCTGGGATGTGCAGTAGCGGCTGCTCGTGTCATTGACGGCATTGTGTTAAGGGTCTGGACTGGCCATTTGGGTATCACTTCACTTAGCTATTTTTGTTTTTGCCAGGGTCCAAGTGCCGTTTCTGACAAATGTAAAGTCTATACCACATGAAAACCTTTTTCTTTTTTTGCTGAGAAAGATTGGCCCTGAGCTAACATCTGTGCTGTCTTCCTCTGTTTTGTACGTGGGACACCACCACAGCATGGCTAGTGAGTGCAGTAGGTCCACACCTGGGATCTGAACCGTGTACCCAGGCTGCCGATGCAGAGTGTGTGGACCTGTAACCCTCAGCCACAGGCTAGCCATGGGAACCTTTTTAGAGACAGAGCAGGAAAATGTGGGGCTGGTTGGTTTCAGGCCTGCTCAGGCGCCTTGCTGGGTAAGTCGGGGTTTAAGAGGATCTCCTGCGACTTTCTGAGTTGGTCCAGAGCCACAGCCTGGCACCGAGCAAACACTTGATAAATTGTTGCTTATTATTGTTAAAACTTTTGAGGCCCCTAAAGTTTACAAAATAGCATTTTGTCTTCCTCACAAGAATGTAGTAGGTAGGATACGTTGTGATTTTAGGGCTTTCTTTTGTTTGTTTGTTTACTCTTAATTTCTTGTTGGTCCAGTCTCGTTTCCCACTGGCTCCCTCCATGAAGACTGTGAGATTTTCAAAACTCTTGCAAAATTTAACATTCCATTTTGATAGTACCCTCTGCTTTGAAACAACCTATAAAACTTGAAGGGCTCAGAGTGTTTCTTTTTAAATAAAAATTGTAACCTTCTTCAGCCCCGTGGCAGCCCTCCACGGTGTGCCTTACACTCCCATGTTAATCCTCTGGGATAAATCGTTGCCCCTGTGCTTGGAGCTGAGGCAGTCTTGGGGATTTTTGAGCATTCTAAAGTGTTGTCATAGTGGAAGCTTAGTCTCCAAAATAAGTGTTTAAACCATGTGGTAATTTTGAGCCAGATTTTCCTCAGCGAACTGTAGTAAAATTTTTCCTGAAAATAGGTGTATTTATTTTGTGTTGATCAACAATGTAAAACATTGTTTTGCTCCTCTTTTCTTACTAGTGACATTTCTCTAAGAGTTTCGTGCTATTGAAAATGCCATACTAAACAAATGGATTCATACCGTTTAAAATAAGCTCCTTTTTACTCACAGAGCTGGCCATTTGAATAGAGCTCCCGCGGAATCGCTGGGAAAGCCGGCATTCTGGCTCACCATTCCTGTGTGTTCCTACTCTTGACCCCAGCCTCATGCTGGGCTGCTCTGTGGAAGGGTTTAGAAACGGGTCCTCCATGTGTGTGTCTGCGGTATGAGTTTTCTCCCCAAGTGGACGTACCTCGCATTATGGCTGTGCTTATTGTTTCTGTTCCCTGGAAGCCCTCCACAGCGATTAGCACAGTCACTTTCTGCACAGTGTGCATTCCACACTGCGTGAGTGGTGTCTGTAACCCCAGGGTTTGTGAATGGCACGTCCCATTCTAAAACTAAAAATGAACTGCCAATTCCGTGCATTTTATATAGCTTATTTTTGACCACCAGACAAGAGAACTAATTCCATTTTGCTTTTAATTGGCACCAGGCAGGCGTTCCGGCTGGTTTTAGTTGAAGCTCACATTAAACTTTAGCTACTTTTTCGTCTTTATTCCCCGGGACTCTGAGAGCCTTTTACGGTGATAGGGTGTTTTTTTGAAGTTGGTAAGTGGAGATATTTAAGTATCTTTGGTGCAACTGTGATTTTTCTTTATCCAAGTGAAGGAAGCGTTCCCTCTCCCCAGCACTTAGATGAATCAGCAGTAGAATGTTGCAGTCGATCTAAAGCATGGCCTGGGAAGCACTTGGACAGGCTGCGCGCTGGCTGGGAGCGAGCCTCTGCCAGCTGCAGAGTGCAGATCAAGCGTGTGCTGGGTTTTAGCCTCGCAACACTCGCACGTCGAAAAGAACAGGATACAGAGCACAGAACCCGGGTCGACGTGGTCTCGCTTCTCTTTCTTTTCCATTTTCACTTTCTGGGTTACTGGGCTTGTGGATTGATGTCTAACACTGCCTATTGTGTATTTGTGATTTGCGTTTTGTAATTAAGAGGAACAATGGGAGTCCACTGGGTCTCGTTATATATAATGGTTGGTTTAATTTGTTTCACTTCTATCTTGTTAATTGTAAATTGATCATTAAGAGTTGAATTCTAATCTGTCACCAGGGTTGTGGGTATTGAGGCTAGAGCAATGATCCTGCTTTTAATCACTGATGATGAGAAACAAATTTTATAATTTTGGTACATATTGCAGTTCATATATTTTAACACTGTATTTTATGGTGTTATAAATATTGTTAAATGACTTTTAGTGTAGTTTTACTGTGTGGACTATAATGTATAAATTATATTACTGTTTTGGCAACAGGAGGTATCCAACTGTGTGAGTTTAATTGAAGTAAAGAACACACACCCAGTTGAACTATTTTTTTTCTCTTTTATGTTTAGATGATGCTAGGTTGGGATACTACAAAAATTATATTCTGCAAGAAGAGACTGATATTGGCCTCTAATAATTGTTATCCAAAGTCAAATGACAAGCTAAAAGGATAAAAAATTAAGGTGTCATGTTTTCTCTTAAAAAGCAATTATCACTGTAATCCTAATTATAGTAGTAAAATG